TTGGTTAAAATAATAGTTGCTGAGTGACTATCACGGCATTTGCCCAATTTACAAGTTGGCAAACCCCTCACAAGAGCCAGCAGTATCACTGGTCTTCTCTGACACGTCATTAGGATTATATTTCCTAATACCAGTGGCACCAGGTGTGACAGTGCTGTGGTAACACGACTCTGCTGCATGGAGAACAACGGCATGTGTTCCTGCAGACCTTGATGGATGAAGCATGGGGGTAGTGCCTTGCTTGGCATGGTTGACTCATACAGCAAGTCTCCCTTTGGACCTGAATGTACTAAAGTATGCTTCATATGCCTTGAAAAGGTAAATTACTGAGACATTTTACTAAAGGGTTCAGATCTTCTAAAGTGAGGTTCAGTGGAAGGATTATAAGCACGTACCTCTAACATCTTACCTGTTGTAGATGACACTTTGATTGACCTCAGCTTAAAGAAAGAATTCAATTCTAATTAGATTGTCAAGCTAGGCTAATACAAGCTAGGCCAGGACTAAAGTGGATGGAAGCCTTTTTAAAACAACTCTTTTTTGTTGCCATAAATTTCACAGTTTACAATTATTTTGGAAGGAAAATGGTTATTCCTGCTGGAAGTTGCTGCTGCAAAATTATGGGCAACGTTAAAGCTTAATAAACAGTATTTGCATCAATAGCTATGACATTGAGATTGGAGTTATTTTAAGATGGCAGAAATCTTTTTTTGTTGCTGATAGTTTGTCACTACAGGCAAAATTAAACTCTATTTCTCCAAACTGAGGTTGTTCATAAAGCCATCAAAAACAGGTATTAGTTGTTCATAGCCTTTCCATAGAATCCACTTTATCAGATGAACTGTTGCTTCAGGCCTTAAATAATTATATGTTTTAACAAACCCAAGCAAACAAATGCATTGAAGCTGCTGATGCATCATATAGAGCACTTTTTACATTGTTAAAATCTAATACAGTACATAATTTACTTCACTTTGCTTTATTTTACTTCAAAGCATCAATTCCAGATTTTCATTATTAATAAACAGTGGGACTCAGTAGGCCAACACTTGTGTTGAACAGTAGCAGGGCAGCCCTTCAGGGCAGCAGGCTGATCACTGACATCATTATTGTTCCCATTGAGTCAGATGAAGTGGAAAGAGTGTCCTTATTCATATAAATAGTGTCAGAATATATTTTCATTTTCTGCAATTAAACTACATCTTCTTATAGTTTATCATCCTGTGTTTTTGAAATATTTCTGTTCTGCACCGTGTCCTATTTCTAACACTGAGCTCTGGATAATTGTCAGACGTATAGAGTATAATGATCATGCAGGGATTCACACTCCAGGGGGAGTCCGTGTGGGCATGGTGGGGCAAAATCAAAAAGACAGAAAAAGACAGCTAATTAGTCTCTGGGAACGAGACCGTAAACGTTCAGAGAAGAACTACAGAAACCTAATATATTCAGAGACCGAGTTCATCTTTTATTTTTCTGAATCCCCTTCCTCTTATCCTCTTTTCTGATCTCTTTCTTCTGCTTGTCTAACTTGCCTTTTTTTGCTCTCAGAGTTTCACCTGCTCTCAAGATTAGCAGCTCAAAGAAGACCGTCACTGCAAAAACACAAAGTGAGAGACGCAGAAAGAGGGAAAGGCAAATATCAGCACAACAATTTTGAGTTTGTAATTTGTATCCAAAGGGAACAGCTATAGTTTGTATGTGTTCAGTGAACATGTATAAGCTCCGTGCGTATGGATCGTGTGTCTATAAATACATCACAAACACTCTCAGGCCTTACGTAAACTCTGCTGACATTCCTGACGCCTGGCAGGATCAGTTTTTCCATCGACCCTGCTGGACTACAGACACAGCTGCCCCTCCGTCAGCCCCTCCACCTCATCAGTGTGTTCAGACGTGTCCGCACACACATTTGCCTTGGCAATAATAGAGTGCTATGGTTTAATAAACATCTTGGGAGCAGAAACACAAGGCATTCAGGAATAAAGTCTGCAAATGATGAACATTTTCAACCATTTTAACAAGGAATCAAGCATTTTTAGTATTATTTGGTATTAAAATCACTTATTTTTGGAGGTTTTGACCATAAGGTTTAAGAAATTAAACTATCATATTCTTTGAATAAATGGACATTGCCCACTGCCTTGAATTCCCAAGTTTGAAATAAATGTCTTGTGTGAGCTATTAATACTTAAAGTGTGAGTCAGAGACAACTCTCAGCTACTACCACCACATGTTTTAGCTCAGTGTTTATAAAATGAACTGACTTACAGGCAGTTTTGTGTGTGATAAGGTTGATCATAGCCTTCTTCAAATGGGTTGAATTCATAAGGTAATCAATTGTAGACGGGTACTCGATTATTGTCAGAGATATAAAGTTAAGCCACTGAGAGATATTCATGAGATATTTTACTAACAGACAGCACTTTTGCAGTTTCTTAGAACACCGAGTATATACTGGGGATGGTTCTCATCAACATCCATGCCAAATTTTAACTTAACATCTTTTAAAAGCATTTGTGCATTTGTCACGTCTAGACTGGACTATTGCAGTGGTTTATTATCTGGGTGTCCAAATACTTCTTTAAAAAATCTTCAGTTGATCCAAAATGCTGCTTAATTGGAGTTAGTGGGAGAGATCATATCTCTCCAGTTTTAGCTTCTCTCCATTGGCTCCCTGTCAAACCCAGAATAGAATTCAAAATCTTACTTATAATCTACAAAGCACTCAACAACCTAGTTCCATCTTATGTTACATATTTTATTGTTTCATATTTTCTTTTAACAGAGCACTTCGCTCTCAGACTGCAGGTTTACTTGTGGTTCCTAGAGTTTCCAAAAGCAGAATGGGAGAATGATCTTTCAGTTATCAGGCTCCTCTCTTGTGGAACCAACTTCCAGTTTCTGTCCATGAGGCTGACACATTGTCCAGTTTTAAGACTGGACTTAAGACTTTCTTTTTGATAAATCCTATAGTTAGGGTCAGCTTGTTATGCTACCTTAAGCTTAGACTAATGGAGGACAAATTGACCTCATTTCCTTAAAAGAATTGTTAAAACTGAACAGTTTTCATTTGATACTATTTCTATATAACATGTGATCCTTGACCTGCCATTGTGTATCTGTTCCTCTCAAACCCAGCCGGTCGAAGCAGATGGTCGCTTGTCCTGACCTGGTTCTGCTAAAGGTTTCTTCCTCGTGAGGGAGTTTTTCCTTTCCACTGTCGCCTTCATGCTCAAGATGAGAGTTCTGTGATGGCATTAAACTCAAAGCAGTCTGCTCCTCAGATAAATAATGTTAAACTATTATTCCTATATATACATGTTTCTCTGTTCAGTGCCCTGAGACGACTTCTGTTGTGATTTGGTGCTATATAAATACCTGAATTGAATTGAATTGAAATTTAAAATAGACTAAGTTTAAGTAATTTGGTGTTTTCTAAAACCAAGTAGCTTTGGCAGCCATCTTGAATTGGGTTGACCTCAAAAGGTAATTACAGTAGTTATTAAAGTACATTAAATTATTACTTCCTGAGAGTTAAACTAAAGTCCACCCAGTGGTTCACTAGACATTTGCTTACAGAAATTGACAACCCCCCCCCCCACACACACACACACACACATTTTCATGGCAGAGTTGTTTTCAGCTTAACTAAACAGAATTTTAGTTTTGGGTTCAAATGCAAAAAGCCATCAATCAGCTGTTACCTGCAGCTTTATGGAAAGAAACAATTGTGTTGAGCATAAACGCAGTTCAAATGTAAAATTCCTTTATATATTTGCGAGCGCGCACTTGTACGAAGCGTGATCGAGTGTATCTGAGCTGAAATGTCCTCATATGGGAGAATGGCATTCCTTCTGATTCCCACAATTCACTGGAGGACCAGCCGTGATGTCACCGAACGCTCCCATGAGAAGTCCGGAGGTGTGTGTGTGTGGGAGAGAAACCAGAGGCTTCCATGTATCATTTTGTGGTTCACCTTGTTAAGAACAAATCCTTCAAACAGTGTGCATAACAGTACACAACACGCCGCTAGCTGTGTGTTAGAAAGTGTGCTCCTCTCAGGTATTTATTGTGGGCAAAACTCCAGGGTTCACTTTGTTTAGAGTGTGGAAAGAGCAAGAGAGGGAAAGGAAATGACAGACAGGAGGGCTTAAAAGGAGATATTAGTGGCATAATGGGATGTGATCAAATGTAGCACTGTAAAAAACATATTTTTTAGATGGAAAATATTAAAAAAGTGTTTAAAAAAGTCAAATAGTAGTAGAATTAACTGCTGCAAAAGAGACAGGAGGGAGGAAATCAGGAGAAGTGAAAGAGCTTGTGACGTAGGGAGTACTGGGAGACAAAGGAAGGATGATGAGGAAAATGGGAACGGGAGCGAGGATAAACTGAGAGCTGGAAGGAAAAGGGGGAAAGGATGGAGAAAGTGAGAGAAGCAGAGAAAGGGGGAGGGATTAAAAGATGTCCCAGATTCCCAGGCCGTTTAACAGGGAGCAAAGGCAAACGGAGCTTATAATGTCGTCTGGCTGAGCAGGGGACAAAGTGACAGCATGAGTGCTTGTTTCTGTGAGGGGGAGGAGAGGAGGGGTGCTATCTGTGAGGGAGCGTCTGTCTCCATGTTTGTATGTCAGCTGAGAACATATGTGCATGGAGATGTACATGTAAGGAAATAAACCTGTTTCCTGAGTGGATGGACTGCAGCCTGGACAAGTTACGGACTCCACCATCAGGTTGATTTTATTTCACTTTTCTTGAGTTCTTCTTTTGTCGTTTCAGATAAACAAAATATACTTTATGGGGAATTTTATTCGAAGTGACACCCTCAATCACGTCAAGTTTAAATGGAATGCACTCACCCCCCCTGCACAGCTCCATGTAAGGTAGTGTGGGCGAGGGGCCTACCTGGATTACTGTGAGCGTACATGTTTGCGGGACACACCAACAGGAAAAAGGAGAGGCTGAAAGAGAAGATAAAGTGACACTAAGGAAGCTGGAACATGTATCTGTACAAAGCAACGTGTCCAGACATCCCCAACCCCAAGCAGAAGAGCTCCAGGTGTCAGGGCGGAGGTGGGATCCAGGCTCAAGGCTTGGGCCAGGGGAGGCTGGTCAAGCAGGGGTCAGCAGGACCGGGGACTCGATCCTACGCACCTCTGATGCTGTGGACGGCCAACAAGCCCAACCGTGGAGTGCAACTCAAACAGCTGGAGGAGTTTCTCAACTTCCACTCACTGTCGCTGCACGATACAGTGAGGAGTGAGACGGGCATGGTCTACAGGTAACCAGATCTGTGTGTGCGTGTCTGTGAGGACGATCTTAAACAAACAAACAAACAAACAAACATGTTTTTTTGTTTTAATGTTTGGATTTTATGGCTCTATGGGACTTGTTAGTGTAGTTTTGGTCAGCAGCTGCGTAGTTAGATGTAATTTATCAAACACTGTGGTCCAGTTGATTAAGTTTGTTAGAAAGTAACGTTTGCTCATCAGTTACTGAGACAGAAAGACAAAATAGTTCAGAAGGTTTGTGGAGAGTTTAAGAATAATCAGCGCTTGAAATGGGCCCTGGATGTGATTGAGCTGCTTCTATTTTTATAATCATGATTATCACTACGGACCCACTTGGTCGAGCTGCCGCCTCTCAGCGAGAAGGTTGATGGATCGAATCCCACTGGGGGCCTCTCTGGGTGGAGTTTGCATGTTCTCTTCATGCATGTGTGGGTTTTCTCCGGGTACTCCAGTTTCCTCCCACAGACTAAAAACACGCATGTTAGTCTGATTGGTAACTCTAAATTGTCCCTAGGTGTGAGTGAGAGAGTGAATGGTTGTTTGTCTCTATGTGTCTCTGTGATGGAGACCTGTGCAGGGTGTCCCCCGCCTCTCGCACAGTGATTGCTGGACATGGGCACCAGTGATCCCCATGACCTGAAAAGGAAGAAGCAGGTAAAGATGATGGATGGATGATTATAACTAAAAATACTGAAAAACAATCGTAGGGTGCCAATGCAGCTATTCATACATACATTTTATGACAAGAAGCTCAGAAAAATGCTTTCATTTTGATATTTAACTGTATAAGAAGTGTAAAGAGAAGCAAAATCAAAAGAAACACTGTTGGTGGTGCATCACGGTCACCATGGTGTCTCTCACTCCCTGACCTAACCTTAGATTTTTGTTCTCATTGATGTAGTTGCGTGATGAAACAAATGTCATTTTGTTCTTGCATGAGCTGTAAGAACTTGTTCTGTGCACAAGTCCCTGGAAGAACACACTTCTCTGAGAGGTATGCGCCAAGTATTGAGTGACTGGTCAGAACTTTGTGGGTGTGTTTATGCAGAAAAGTGGGTGAACTACACGACTCTCAAAATGCTTTAACTGCAGAGGAGTGGTTAGCTGAGGCTGCTAGAAAAAAACATCTGTTCCAGCAAAACTTAGAAACAGAGTCAAAGAACTCTTGAAAAAAAAACCCAAAAACTACAAGATTAGGAGTAGAGAGCACAGAGGCACTGGTGGCTCCATGGCTCTTGACTGGGCAGAGTACAGACATGCTCCCCTCTTTCAGAAACGGTGGTGGTTTTTGCTGTCGCTGCGCTTGTTTGCATATGAAGTGTGCTGCAATGGAGTTCTGCGCTGCAGTTTCTCTTTCACTATAAAATGTACATGTGATAAAGACCATTTTACAGCTACGAGTGCCTTGCAACAGCTTTCAGAAAGATGGAGAAACACTCAAGACATAAACAAACACTCGTGTCAGATCATTCAAAATACTTTATCTGTGAGTGTGAAGACACTGTCATCTTCATAAACTGATATTTCTACAGTATTTTTATGTAGCAGAAACAAAAGGTAATAAAGACCCTAGAAAACTTTTGATTTAAAGTAGTTGAAGTTTTGGTGTAGGAGGTAATTTTAAGAGAAAACTGAATGACCTACAGCAGCGAGACACGTTGGGCGAGAGACAACATTTAATGTAGAACTTGAATCTGGGGGAGCAAGAAGAGTTTGCAAAGATTAGGAAAATTTTAAAAGTTAACACTAAAAGCCACACCACACGATTATTTGATCCAGTCGAACATTTCATAACGATGTTATTTTATTTTAAAGTGGTGCCACTAGATACAGAATGATTAAACAAAAACTAGTACTGAGGTTGCTTCAAGTCCTACACATTAAACCATAATATTATATTTCATTTGAATTTTTTGCACCATGGTGATACATGAAACCCAGCAGTTGAGTGATCAGTGTCTGAGAGTTGTATGGTTATAATAATAATAATAATAAAAATAAACTTTATTTATGTAGCTCCTTCCAACAACACCTTGCATTGACCAAAGTGCTTTACAAGATAAAACAAATAAAAACAGGGAATTAAAACCACAGCCACAATAAAAGGAGGTAAAGGAGATAAAAAAAATACTAACTGGTTACTGGTACTCATACAAATTACTGGTAGTACTTTTGTAGAAATACACAGTTCTTCAGGGAATTAACCATCTGTGTCCTGAACTCAAATTATTCCACACCTACACAACTGATCAATCAATCGTCAACTTTAAGGTTGATTAGAGTTCAAATACACGATGCACTCAACAGTACTCTGCCACGAATGTCATGAACACAAATGGAATTGGAGAAATAAAAACTTTTGTTGTTCTCATTCGTGTTTGTTGGACTCACACTGACACACACATTTAAACTAAAACACGAGGTCAATCGAAAACTGTAACATGACGTTTCTTCCATAAAATCCGTTTCCGGCTTGCTTGGGAGAGGTTGCTTTTCAATATGCAATACTGTATACGGTGGCCCTAAGGTGTAAATGAAGGACATCTGAAAAAACAGAATTATATTTGAAAAAACACAACAAATACAACAAAAACACAACATTTGAAAAAACAAACAAACAAACAAAATGGAATTACATTTGAAAAAACTAAATTACATTAAGCCAAACCGGAAGTGGTGTGTGCACTGTACATTGTTCTGTTTTATGCTATTAATAAAGTAACACCCCCCCCCCCCCCACACACACACACACACACACACACACACTTCCGGTATGGCTTGCTGTAATTCTGTTTATTCAAATGTGATTCCGTTTTTTCAAATGTTGTTCATTTACACGTTAGGGCCACCGTAGCTCTGCTCTACTCGGAGATTATTAATTAATTAATTTATTTATTTGTCTGACCATTGTTTAATAACCTTTGAGTTTGACATTAAATGACTACACAGTCACCGAGAGTAAATTTCACCTTAGCAGGTGCTTATCAGAACACGCTGTAACCAAATTTAAAGTAGCTCCTAAGATAAATAGTGTTAAGTTATTATTTTTTTATAAATGTTTTTGTTAACTTATTATTTTTATATATGAATGTTTCTGTTCAGTGTCCTGAGATGAGTTCAATTGTGACTTGGCGCTGTATAAATAAACTGAATTGAACTGAACTGAAGTGAAAATCGAATCATAACCATGTGTACTGCTCAACAGGCTCATGTTCAGGCTGCTGTTTAATTTACTGTATTATTTTACATTATTATTGTTTAGTGTAGAAAGAACTGGAAGTGGCAGAACTGAAGATGCTCAGGTTCTCCTTAGGAGTGACAAGGATGGATAAGATTAGGAATGAGATCATCAGAGGTACAGCACAGGTTGAACAACTGGGAGATAAAGTTAGAGAGGCCAGACTGAGATGGTTTGGACATGTCCAGAGGAGGGACAGTGGTTTGGACATGTCCAGAGGAGTGGACATTGGTAGAAGGATGTTAGAAATGCAGCTGTCAGGAAAAAGACAAAGAGGAGATATATGGATGCAGTTAGAGAGGACATGGAGGTAGTTGGAGTGAGGACAGAGGACAGAGATGGAGGATGACTCACTGTGGAGACCCCTGAAGAGGGAAAAGCTGAAAGAAAAAGAAGAAGAAGAAGAAGCATATCTTTGTGCATATCTTAGATCCTTATATACTGTTTCTTTTAATATTTTATATTTTTGCTATCGTTGGATGTAACTGGGACCCTGAGTACTCAGTTTCACCTCATGTACCACATGTGATGTGAATGACCATAAAGAACCTTGAACCTTGAACCAGCTTTGAAACATTTCCAGTGTCATGTCCATCTTCATAATTCTTCGCTGTGCTTTAAAAGCTGCATTTTTAAGCATGGGTTAATGCATGGCTGGCTTGATAGCATCTTCGTTTATGCACTGGAGTCCTTGTGTAATCAGAATGCACAACTCTGAATAAATAATTAGATAATTTGAAAGATGGGGATTTAAAATGCTTTTTTTGCATTTAAAATAGAGAATTCATATTTGTAAAAGATGCAGGTTGAAACTGATGTCATGTGTACGTTTTTTTGTTTCGTTTAGTTCTTCATTTGTGAGTAAGACTCGTGGTTTTAGTGGGTTTGACTTAACCAGTGGGTCGCTGCTCAGCCCTCAGGCGGGAAAGTAGCCTGTATCTGCTCAGACTGGGTTGGTTTAAACAGAAAGCAGGAAATAAAAGATCCTGAATGAACAGTCTGTTTGAGTGTGGATCTGTCTGTCTCTGTTAGTAAAATATTTCATGAACCACAAAATGTATTTTAATGAAACTCTTAGTAAGTAATGATTGGACATTAATCTACAGTGGCTTAATTTTTTAGAGTCAACCCATTTCAAAATGGTTGACACTGCCAGATGACCTTAAAATACAAAAATGACTATAACATCCAGTTTTACAGATATTTATCTCAAATTTAATTCAAGGATTCAAGGTTTTTTATTTGTCATTCCACCACATGTGGTACATGTGGTGGAACGGAATTACTTTATATGTACACAGGTTCTCAGTTACATCCAACAAAGTATTAAAATGTAAAAGAAAAAAACAGTAATAAGATCTAAGATATGAACTAAGAAAAACGTTAATAAAAATACACTAAGCACTAGTAGCATTAAAAACATTACGTCGAACAGCAGCATGAACATGAGTCTGCGTGAGTAGATGAGCATGAATGAACACAGCAACATGAAACAGATCAGCAGCAACATGAAACAGATCAGCAGCAGCATGATGTGATTCTTCACTGTGATTCTTCTAGTTAGAGATTCATGAGTCTAACAGCCTCAGGGTAGAAGCTGTTCCTCAGTCTAGTGGTTCTACACTTAATGCTCCTCAACCTCCTTCCTGAGGGGAGTGGGGCAAAAAGTATTTGTGCTGGGTGAGTGGGGTCCTTCATGATGCAGGTAGTATGCATGTAGTAG